TGAAAAAAAGGGAAAGAAACAGAATCTCAAGATTCAAAACAAAAAAGAGTCGCCAAACTAAGTAGTGAAATAAAATGGCTATTGCAATGATTCCAAGAAAAAAAAAGATCTTAAAGACACCGAACAAGGCAAAGGAGTATCAGCTTTTTTCTCTCCCCAAAACAAACAAGGTAGAGATAATTCGTTATCAGAAGAATCTTTAATGGAGGATAGGAGAAATTCAACATTTAATTTGCAAGAATTTATTAAAATCAACTTGGAAAGTCGAACTGAAACTTTTAAAAAAGAAATTAATAATAGCACATGTCAATTAAAATTGACATTGGAAGATAGGCAAAGAATAAAAAAAACATCAGACTGGAAAAATATCCCTGAATCCATTACTTATGAAAATGCAAAAGAATTTGTGCTTGAATTTCTTTAAGCTTTAGACATCAATATACAAAGCAAGGGACTTGTGATAGAAAACACATATTGTGTGAGAAAACCGCCAAATATTCCAGAAATAAGTCAGAGAGATCTGGTAGTTGCCTTTTATTCTTCTCAAATGAAACAACAAGCTATTCAAGCTAGTAGAGTGAAGAAACTAAAAGGAGGAATATTTAATGATATTGTAATGTACCAGGACTTATCATGCTATACAAGAAATGGAGAAAGAACATTTTTACAGCCCTGATACCACTTAAACAATACAATGTAAGATACCGATGGGGGACAAACAAACTAATAATAGTGTTCTGGAAAGACACAAAGAAAATATTTTCTGAACCAAAGAAATTGGGGGAATGGGCAAGAGAACAAATAAAGTGAGAGAAGAAATCCGAAGGAAAGAGAGGAACTTTTTAAAATTACTAAATTGAAAGAGACTAAGAGAAATATACGAAGAGGGGCAAGAAAAGAAATAAGATTTTTTTTTTCTCTTTCCTCTTTTCTCCCCTCTCTTTCTAAAGTACTTATATAGGTTTAGGGAAAAAATAAATAACAAGTTAGAAACTTAGAAATAACACGTGAGTTATATAAAGCAACAAACGGGGCGCAAGAGAATACTGAGAATGGGCAGCAGCTGAAATAGCCAGCCCTTCAGTGGGTCCCCGCTCAGATCTCAAGCTGGTTTTAGCTCATCTTGTGCCATTACAGAGAGAACATATCTGAAACATATCAGACAGGCAGTCCAGATCCGAAATGCCAGCAAGTTCCCTCTGCACGAGAGATACAGCAACCCCAAACGTGAGTTATATGACACATATTAAGTGAATAACACACTAAAATAGAACTGTGGAGCAAAGAAACCCACTTTGAGGAGGACTGTCGAATTCTATGTAATAACTTATTTTTTTTATTTTAGAAGACCCATTCTTCGGTTGTAATATCATACCTTTCTTCCAAAAACTCCAGTAGTCTTCCCCTACGGTCTTGGCATCAGTATTTTTACTCCTTTTGCTTTCCCATGAACTTGCCTATATCTTTGTTCTAAACAAAAGGTTGTCTTTGATAGCTCCATGAACAGGTCCTGCGAAAGGGATGTCTCTAAGATAAGCTTTTTTTATTGAAGAATTTCTGGTTACAACAATCTTTTTTCCCTTCCAGAAGTGCTTTTTTTCCCTTCTGCCATCTGTTTTAGAAGACCATCAAGTTGGGAACTAAACAGTCTCCCCTATTCGAATGTCATATTACATACGCTGATTTTGGATGCAGAGTTCATAGACCTTCCTCTCAGCCAGACTGCCCTTCTTGCTACTGTATGAATTTGGCAGACAGTTTAAGAGCTTCTGAAGTAAAGTCTGCCAAAAAATCAGAAGCCACGCTGATATTTTGTAGTAGTTTTACTGAATCCTCTTTTGATTCTCTCTTGTATATTTCTTCCCAGTGAGTCCAACCTGCGCGTTGTGCCTTAGATATGGAAGATTCCATAATCAAGGCAGCGTTGGTTAAAACATTTTTCTTAAAGTAGTTCCTGCTTTTGTGTCCATGGCATCCTGCAACCCACTTGAGTCTCCAATAGGCAGAGTGGTCTTGTTGCCTAACTGCGCAATATGTACGTTGATCTTTGGGAGTTCTTACAATTTCTAGTTGTCTTTTTACTTAATAGAAAATATAGCTTTAAAGTGTTTGGTAATAAAATCCTTCTTGGAAAGATATCTCCACGCTCTAAGCATGAGATCTTTAAGTTTAGGATAGAACAAGAAGGATTTAATTTTCTTGTTTGCTGAGGTCAGGATTATCTTCCATACACCATGAAACGTCTTTAATTAGCTTATGTAAGAATTAATTTGGAAATGCAATATCCTCAACAGATGAAGCATCAGAATCTTCAGAAGGGGAGCTACCCCAGGAACCCGAACTTCAGTCTAAACCCTCTTATTCTGAGAGGGTCTGAAATCCCATTCAGGGGTTATAGACAACTGAGCCGCTTGAATAATTGCTTCCCTTATCTCATCAAAAGTTTGTTGGAGACTGGACAGGAACCAAGACAGAAAAGAGGAAACCTCAGCTTTCTAAGATTCTTCTGCTGCCTCTTTCAAACAAATATTCCATAAAGTATTTTTATACCAATCAGGCATAGGCTGACTGCACATGTTCAGCTGTTCACAGAACCCTGTTGTCGCTGCTAGTAGAAAATAAAAAGATACTTTCTGATACCTGCGTCTATCTGCCTATTATGCTAACTCAAAGAAATTATACATTTTGTTTTCACTGAGCAGTACCCACAAAACCTGGCTCCTTCTTACTTTGTAGCATGCTTCTCCAGCTGTTCCATAAATCACCTACTCATTCCCTTTACATGTTACCACTGGCTGCAATTATCATTTAATTATCTCTGACCATCACCTACATATTCCCCCTGCTACAACTTATCTGAACTCCTAAATACACCCTGTTCCAAATTATTGTGCAAATTATATTTTTCTCATTTACCTAAATAATTGATGTAAATAACAGTCAGCATAATTCTCATGTTATCAATAGAGTTGAGAGGACACCTGGATGTTCGGGTCCGGCAGGTTCGGCCGAACTTTGAAAAAAAGTCCGGGTTCGGGATCGAACTTGACCCCGAACCCCATTGAACTCAATGGGGACCTGAACTTTTGGGCACAAAAATGCCTCTAAAAAAGTCCTGGAAAGGGCTAGAGGGCTGCAAAAGGAAGTAAAATGGGGGTAAGAGTAGGACAAGTGCCCTGCAAACAAATGTGGAAAAGGAAATCACTTAAAATAACATAAAATACATAAAAATTAAAAATACAGCTGAGCCATAAAATAGCACTCTTTGATTTTAGCTTTGGAAGAACATAAATCAAAATCTAAAGCATGACTGTCAGGAGGATCACCAGAATTATCCATTTGAGAGAGGGTTGGAGTGCAGGGTATTCTCTTTCATTGTTCAAACTGAGCTCAACTCCTGATGCATGGAGAAAAGGCCTCCACAAGCCTCTGCTATTGTGTACATAGTTTATACTAAGTGACCCATAGGTTGAGGAGGCGGTGACCGTGGCGCTGTAGGTGGAAGCGGCGGTGGAGGAGATGGAGGTAGCCAACACTGTTTTTTATATATATTTTTTTATTTTAATTGGGCTAGCCCCCAAAATATTGGGACATATAAAAAAAGAAACATTTGTGGCCTGCGGTGCATTTCTTGCAGTCCTGATGCATGGAGAAATGCTCAACTCCTGATGCATGGAGAAAAGGACCTCACAAGCCTCTGCTAGTGTGTACATAGTTTATACTAAGTGACCCATAGGTTGAGGAGGCGGTGACCATGGCGGTGTAGGTGGAAGCGGCGGTGGAGGAGGTAGCCAACACTGTTTTTATTTGTTTGTTTGTTTTAATTGGGGTAGCCCCCAAAATATTTGAACATAGAAAAAAAATAAACATTTTCGGCCTGCGGTGCATTTCTTGCAGTCCTAATGCATGGAGAAATGCTCAACTCCTGATGCATGGAGAAAAGGCCTTCACAAGCCTCTGCTATTGTGTACATAGTTTATACTAAGTGACCCATAGGTTAAAGGAGGCGGTGACCGTGGCGGTGTAGGTGGAAGCAGCGGTGGAGGAGGTAGCCAACACTGTTTTTCATATACATATATATATATATATATATATATATATATATATATTTATTTTTTTTAATTGGGGTAGCCCCCAAAATATTGGGACATATAAAAAAAGACAACTCTGTTCTGCAGAGCGACTGACCCGTGCGTGCTGCAGCTGAAACTCCACTATCGCCTGCTGCTGCTCGTACAGTCTCATGAGGCGGTGAGCTGGAAGGCTGAAGTTACGCTGCAGCGCAGACAGGCGAGCAGCAGCAGGAAATAAGGAGGAAGTGCGCAAGGAGGTGTAACGGCACCTACCGAGAGCCACCTTCAGAGGAGATTGTCAGCAGGACCTTTTTGGAGATGCAAGCCTATGTCCTTGCCAGAAGACAGAGGGCAACCTCCATGAACCCAGATGAAGGAAGAAGGGAGTAGAGGGCGCCGGGAAGCACAACCAGCCTGGCCCACAAGCTACCATACAATGCCTTCAAAGACTTCAGAAGAAGGCATCGATGAATTTTTACAAGACTTTGAGCGCCAGTGCCTACTCCAAGACGTGGACCCCAGCGACTGGGTCACCATCCTGGCCAGCAAACTAGTGGGGAAGGCAGCGGATATTTACCGGGCTGTACTAGAAGAGCACATCAGAGACTATCCCTTTATTACCCAAATCCTCCTGCCCCGGTATGCGGTCACCCCCGAGCAATACCGCCGAAAGTTTAGGGAGAAGGACTCCCATGCGGAGTGGGCATGCCGCATCACAAGGGCCACCCAGAACTGGCTCAACTCCCATCAAGCCAAGTTCCCAGAAGAGATCACCCAGCTCGTCATGCTAGAGCATGTTTTCAATGGGCTCCCCAACGAAAAGGCGACGACGCATTCGTATGTCATCTATATCAACTTTCGATGCCATTTACTGCAGTCCTAATGCATGGAGAAATGCTCAACTCCTGATGCATGGAGAAAAGGCCTTCACAAGCCTCTGCTATTGTGTACATAGTTTATACTAAGTGACCCATAGGTTAAAGGAGGCGGTGACCGTGGCGGTGTAGGTGGAAGCAGCGGTGGAGGAGGTAGCCAACACTGTTTTTCATATACATATACATGGTGACCACGGGTAACGGGGAATCAGGGTTCGATTTCTGAGAGTGAGCCTGAGAAACGGCTACCACATGCAAGGAAGGCAGCAGGCGCGCAAATCACCCACTCCCGACGCGGGAAGGTAGTGATGACAAATAACAATACAGGACTCTTTAGAGGCCCTGTAATTGTAATGAGTCCACTTGAAATCCTTTAACTCTGATCAATTGGAGAGCAAGTGTGGTGCAGAGCGACTGACCCGTGCGTGCTGCAGCTGAAACTCCACTATCGCCTGCTGCTGCTCGCACAGTCTCTCCAGCATGTGCAAGGTGGAGTTCCACCTTGAGGCGGTGAACGGGAAGGCCAAAGTTACGCTGCAGCGCAGACAGGCGAGCAGCAGAAGGGTGAGAACGCCGAAAGCGCGCACAGCTGCTACAGTGAATCTCACATCATGTTCCAAGTTGCGGATCAGTCTGGTGATGGCTTCTGATATCCAGTACTCTTTTTACTGAAGCTGCATCAGGGTCCTGGAATGTGGCTGCACAAACGCTGGTGCTCAACACCAGGGGGCATGCGGTTACCCTGCACCAGACCCTGCTAATCCATTCCACACTGTGACTCCTAACTTCAACATCAGGCATACTGGGTCCCGGTCATCCAACCACCGCCCAGACAGTGTCTGGGTCCCGGTCACCGGACTGCGAAACTGCGAATGGCTCGTTAAATCTGTTATGGTTCCTTTTATCGCTCCATCTGATACTTGGATAACTGTGGGAATTCTAAAGATAATACATGCCAACAAGTGCTAGGGGATGGATGCTACACTTTTGCACCCTGCTCTCTCTTATGCTGTGCTGGTGTCTCTGTGCGACGAGCGCCTCTTCCTCTAAACTGCACACGTCACTCGCATGACCTTGATTCCATGTGGGGTCTAGGACCTCATCATCCTCCATCCACTCCTCAACCCTGCCATCCTTGCCGGTCTGCACACTGCAGAAAGCCACAGCAGTTGGCACCTGTGTTTTTACAGCATGTAAAGTCTGCCAAGGACATATGGAAATTGTTTTAGAATTGTATCCAGGCAACAGTTTTCCCTATAAACTAACCTCTCAGTTTAACTTGTGAGGGTATTGCCCCCGAATTACAATATTGTTATATTGGTATTTGATGGTTCTATTTGACTTTCAGATATGAAGTGCACCCCACTAATGTACTATTTAGCAGATTAGCACCCAGAAAATAAGAATGTTTACAATTGCGCTGTAAGCGCACTATTTGACGCTTCTATTTTACTCTCAGATATGAAGAGCACGCCTAAAATGTACTATTTAGCAGATTAGCAGCAAAACAATTAGAATGTTTACAACTGCGCTGTAACTGCAGTATTTGACGCTTCTATTTGACTCTCAGATATGAAGTGCACCCCATTAATGTACTTTTTAGCATCCAAAAAATTGTAAGTTTTAAAACTCCGACGTTACCGCGGTATTTGAAGCTTCTATTTCTCTCTAATATATGAAGTGCACCCCACTAATGTACTAGTTTGCAGAATTCTATCCTAATCTGTCCCTGAAAGCGGCAGCATCCTCTCCCTACACTAATAAGGCCTCATGTTTGTGCGGCGCTACGCGACTTTAGCTTATTTATAGAGGCCGGGTCACATGCTGCACTGGCCAATCACAGCCATGCCATTAGTAGGCATGGCTGTGATGGCTTCTAAGGGCACACGAGTCAAACGCTTTTTGATTGGCTGCCCTGCAGCCTTTGGAAACGCGCCATTAAATCGCCGAACACTGAACTCCAACTCGAACATACACTGATATGTTCGGGTCCGGGGTTCAAAAAATTTAATGTTCGGTACGTACCCGAACTTTACAGTCCGGGTTCGCTCAACTCTAGTTATCAACTTATTACAAATTATTACACTCAGTAAGTTTCAAAACACTTTATAGGTTGTAAAGAACTGAAAATTGTCATTTGTTGTGCTTGCAGCATTTTTACTGAAATCAAAAGCAATTTTTTTTTTTCTTGCAGTGCATGAAAATGGTACAGGCAGGTCTGAGGTGCCCTAAGAGCAGTCCTCAGGTTGTTTCTTCCGCTTGACATGCGAGACACATGTTTATCAGGCACAATTTTTATATAAGCATGCTTAGTGATTTAGGTAATTCTTTAGGGTATCAAAGGTTAGTACCAAGCATAACTCGATATTAGTGAAAGTAGCTAGGTCAATACTATATTTTGTATGATGGTGTTGCTTTTGTAGAGTACTCCCAGGTTGTTCATCCGAGGAGGCAGGGCACACGTTACACGTACAGGCAGAGTGGTGGAACACATAATCAACACTATAGATTAAGACATTTCTATTGCACATTGTATATAAGTGAAAGTTAGTTAACGATTTCTGCATTTTTAAGATGCCATTAATACCAGTGATTACATGTGTTAAAACGAAAGAGATTTGTGCGGTAAGCTATATTCAAAGGCTCAGTATTTAAATGTAAACATGCTAAGGCCAGTCAGCAATCTACAGGTATAATATCACCCTGGTTGACCAAATGTTCGTGGGTCTGCACATGTTCTAGGAACCGCTGGCATGATGAGTAGTGGACAAAAGGTCAGCCAATGCCTGCTCTGCCATGTCGGCGTGGCCCGGTGTTCGTGTCTTTTAAGGGTGAGGTTCTAGTGTGTGGAGCAGGTGTGCGGTCAGCCCTTCTGTGGGAGTGCTTCGCTCGGCGGCAGGGTCAGCATTCGTCGGCGGGGGTGAGTATGGAGCGGAGTCCCGGTATATTGATGCATCCACTGCTTTGGGTCCGGTTAGGCCTCTGCTTTTGCTCGCCTTTCTCATGGCTCGTTGCTTGTACAGGTATGAAAATGCCTGGCAGGCTGCTATGGAGGGAAGTAGAGCCACCAGCTCCTCTGACCCCCTGGGCCTGTGCTTGATTGTCTCACTGGGTGTTTGAGCTCCGCTGCAAATTATGCCCCTCCGCTGTCTCTGGCGCACGTGGCAACCGCCATCTTATGTGATGCGGTCAAGGCCTCAAGTGTGGCGGCCGCACCTTTGTGCTCCGGCTACCGAGCCTCTGGGTGAGGAACGGGATCACCCCCCTGATCCATGGGGGGAGACAGGGCCGGGTCCGCCTTGGCCCGTGCTCCAGGATGAGAGCTGTATTGCAGGATAGTGGGGCGGCGGCGGTCCGCCCCACTCACCTCTGGAGAAGGCCCCAGATGGGACCACAACGTTTTCTCCTCCAGGGGACTGCAGCTTGATAGGCCAGCCTCTCCCTGGTTCCAGCAGGCCCTCTGCTTTGGGCACTGTTGCGGTCGGTCAGCATTTCTGGCAAAAGATGTGGCTTTTTGGTCATTTTGGTGCTGTGTAGCAGGAGCTTCTGTTGCCTGCGACTGTCCAGCTCGGCGGTCCAGCCCCGCCCCCATCAAAAGCTATTTCATGAGATGGTGCATTGTCATGCATGAAGATGATTTTATTCGGGAAAGCATAGTTTTTCCTTCTGTACCAGGGAAGAAAGTGGTCAGTCAGAAACTCCACATACCTTGCAGAGGTCATCTTTCCACCTTCGGGGACCCTAAAGGGGCCGACTAGCTCTCTTCCCATGATTCCGGCCCAAAACATGACTCCACCACCGCCTTGCTGACGTTGCAGCCTTGTTGGAACAGGGTGGCCGTCCACCAACCACCCACTACTCCATCCATCTGGACCATCCAGGGTTGCACGGCACTCATCAGTGAACAGGACTGTTTGAAAATTAGTCTTCATGTATTTTTCTGCCCAATACAACCATTTCTGGTTGTGAGCATTGGTTAGTGGTGGCCGAATAGAAGGTTTATGCACAGTTGCAAGACTCTGGAGGACTCTACACCTTGATGTCTGTGGGACTCCAGAGGCACCAGCAGCTTCAAATATCTGTTTGCTGCTATGTAATGGTATTTTAGCAGCTGCTCTCTTGATCCGATGCATGGATCCTGCAGAAATATTCCTCAATGAGCCTTTATCTGCACGAACCCGTCTGTGCTCTGAATCAGCAACAAATCTCTTAATAGTGCGATGATCACGCTAAAGTTTTTGTGAAATATCTAATGTTTTCATACCTCACCATTGGGAAATCTGGGCAAATGCCCAGTGGCTGTGATGCACAGACACCAAGGCCGACCAGGGCTATCAAAGGATTCCCCCATCTGGCCCCTCCAGGACAATGCATCCTGAATACCGGCTCTGAGAAGGGAAGCATTTGATTGGACCATGGAGATGGAACAAGTGTTGACACTGGGGCATGGAGACCAAAAAGGGAGCTTTGCCCAGCCCTGGATTCCAGGAAGGTTTATTGCTTAAGTTACAGGTTTATTTTAAAATTAAAGGAAACCGGTCACCACTTACCTGACCCTTTGTTACCCTGCCACAATCTCATTAGAGAGGTGGGTGTAACGGTCATGTTTCTGAGCAGGTCAGAGAGGAGACTTATGCCGGGGGTTGACTTGAGGTTCCTTATTTTCTCTAATTTAGGCATGTTTAGACAAGGAATCAATAAGAGTAATAGGATATAAAGGGAAAAGGAACACTAAAGACAGAGGGAGAAAGCAGAACCTATAAACGGGATTATAGGGAAGTATGATAGTAAGAGGAAAACCTATAAGTGAAATAATAGGTTAGGAGGAAGAAGGAGTGGTTATAGAAATAACGAGTAAGGCAATATGCCCCAGGAGAAAAAAGGAGTTAGGCAATATGCCCCAGGTAGCTCATCAGGTAACAGGTATAATACGAGAGGAAAGACCTATAAAAAGTTATAGGTAAGAGACAAACAATATATAATATAATAGAGATAAACAGAATATATATATATTATACAATATAATGAAATCAGGTTAAATAGCCATTTAGTAAATCCGAGTCCTTTGGTTGAAGGCAGTAATGCCGTTATAGATAAATGCAGCGAGGTTACTCAGGATAGAAGCTATCAAGTATGGATAGTCAGTATTATCCAGGTAAGTTGTGATGGATCTGGTTAAATGTCCAATAGAACAAAAGCAATAAGGTACATTGGTATTAAAAGTCCAGTAGGAATTAAAGCAGGCGGATATTGGTGATCGGGTTTTGTTTTACCGAGCTTCTTCGAGAAGAGCAGACTGGAAACAAGCAGGTTTGATGAGTAGATCAAGATGGTTCAAAGTAAATCAGATTTGATTAGGTTTCTCTGTATGAGCCAGGAGCAGAAGACTTGTCAGGTTCAGAATAATAACTTCTCTCATTGTAAAGGTTTGTCTAGTGCAGCGTTTCCCAATTAGTGCGTGGAATTGGGGTTCTGCCAAAAGTTTAAAAAATAAAATGGCCGTAGGCAGCGAGGGAGCAGTGAGCAGTGATGCTGGAGCCGGAATATGATGTCACTCCGGCTCCGGCATCACTAAGAGGCGCGCGAGGGAGCTGAGCAGGGAGATCACTGCTCCTTGGCCACCTGCACGCCAGCCGCTCAGCAGCCCTACTGGACCCCAGGGATTCCATGCCAGCACTCCTAGAGGTAGTCAGGCTGAGTGAAGTAAAATGTAAAAGAAAACAAAATTGTATGTGTGTCTGTTAGGGAGTTTATATGTGTTTGTGTGTCTGTCAAAGAGTATATGTGTGTTTGTCAGTGAGAGTAAACGTGTGCTTGTCAGTGAGTGTGTGAGAGTGTATGTGTTTGTCAGTGAGAATGTATCTATTCTTGTCAGTGAGAGTGTATGTGTTTGTATGTGTGTCTGTAAAAGAGTATGTGTGTCTGAGTGTGTCAGTGTGTATATCTGTGTGTCAAGGTTTGTGTATGTTTCACTGTGTGTATCAAAGTGTGTGTGCGTGTTTGTGTGTGTGTATGTGCCAGTGTATCTGAGTGTGTATCTGTGGGTGCAAGTGTGTGTATATGTCACTGCGTATTTGTGTGTCAAGATGTGTGTGTCAGTGTGTATCTGTGTGTCAAGGTGTGTGTCAGTGTGTATCTGTGTGCCACTATGTGCCAGTGTGTGTGTGTATCTGTATGTCAGATACATACACACTGACACAGAGATACACACACTGGCGCATACAGACTCAGATATACACACCTTGACACACACCAGCACATACAAACACAGATACACACACTTTGAAACATAGATACATACACACACACACACACACACAGATATACATTGTGTGTCAAGGTGTGTGTATCTGTGTGCCATTATCTGCCAGCATGTGTGTATCTGCGTTTCAGATTCACACACACTGGCACATACAAACACAGATACACACACCTTGACAAACAGATACATACATACATACACACACACACACAGAGATACACACTGTGTGTTAAGGTGTGTGTATCTGTGTACCACTGTGCATGTGTGTATCTGTGTGTCAGTTATACACACACATACACACTGACACAGAGATACACACACTGGCGCATACACAGACACATACAAACACAGATACAGACACTTTGACACACAGATAGATACATACATACACACACAGATACACACTGTGTATCAAGGTGTGTGTATCTGTGTGCCACTATGTGCCAGTGTGTGTGTGTATCTGTGTGTCAAATAAATATATACACACACACACAAATACACACACTGGTACATACAAGCAGAGATATACACACCTTGACACACCCGGCACATACAAAATACGGCGCAATTTCTTTAAAAAATTAATTGGGAACCTCTGGTCTACTGGTTAGGGAGGCCATTAGTGGTGAAAACTGTAACTGTAGGACATAAAACAGAAGAAATTAAACATGATTTGAGTTGTCAGGATCCTACCCTGACAGTAAAACCTACTTACGGTCTGCCCACGCTCACCCAGGTCTCTTCACAGATTTGCCCTTCTTGGCAATTCTTCCCTAATCAGGGCAAACCTTCTCTTCTAGGGACTACCTGTGGGAGGTCTCTTCTGCTCTCTTTTATCAATCAATTCCTTGACATAGAGTCTATGCCACAGAATTGATTGACAATAAGGTCTCCTCCACTCTCAATTCTTCGGCATTGAGTGTCTGCCGAGGAATTGAGAAACAGGTGGGTGAAAAAAACTATTTTTAAAAAGGTTTTTCAACTAATCTGTACATATGCTAACAAAACTAGTAGGCCTATGTAAAATATGACATTTGATGCTCTTTAGTTTTGGGCATGACAGTTGGCCTTTAAGGGGTGAGGGTGGGAAGTGAATAATGAGAAAAAAATTGAAAGTAAAAAATTAAGTACATAAATAAAATTTCACAGACACCAAGGCTGACCATCTGTGTGTATTTCACCTAGAAACTCAAAATACACCTAGGTTGACAAAACTGACCACTTTCATGACTGAGGATTCGATATATCCTAAATGGTATATTCTGTTATTTTATCTTTTTTTGTAATTTAGTCACCTAAATTACTTTAGCTAAATAAAGCAGTTTTAGTGTATAGATAATTCCCCTGCAATTTCACTGCTCAATTCACTGTCATTTAGGAGTTAAATCACTTTGTTTCTGTTTATGCAGCCCTAGCCACACCTCCCCTGGCTATGATTGACAGAACCTGCATGAAAGAAAAACTGGTTTCACTTTCAAACAGATGTAATTTACCTTAAATAATTGTATCTCAATCTCTAAATTGAACTTTAATCACATACAGGAGGCTCTTGCAGGGTCTAGCAAGCTATTAACATAGCAGGGGATAAGAAAATCTTAATTAAACAAAACTTGCAATAAAGAAAGCCTAAATAGGGCTCTATTTACAGGAAGTGTTTATGGAAGACTGTGCAAGTCACATGCAGGGAGGTGTGACTAGGGTTCATAAACAAAGGGATTTAACTCCTAAATGGCAGAGGATTGAGCAGTGAGGCTGCAGGGGCATGTTCTATACACCAAAACTGCTTCATTAAGCTAAAGTTGTCCAGGTGACTATAGTGTCCCTTTAAAGGGTTACTCCAACCATAAAACAATATTTATGGTTAAAGTAATTATTGCCCTGCTGGTCCACCGCCAACTTAAAAAAATAAAAAATAAATAAACAAACAGCTAGGACCTACTTTAATATCCTACTCTGAGGCCAAGTTCATTCTCAGCCCAATCTTTCTCTACTGACACCACTCACTGGAGAGGGAGGTCAATCACTACGGACTGAGGGTGGGAGGGGTCGTGCCTCCATTGGCTGTCTGTTGTCAGTATGCTGTGTGTACTGACTTCAGACTCCAATTTTACACGGAATTAACATTAGCCACTCATTACATACATATATTTATATCGTATTTATGTTGGCTGGTTAGAGCATTGGGGACATCACAGCATTAGAACTAAGAAACCCAGGTTTGAATGCCAGTCAGACAGTTTACCAGTAAATGTTCATGGGCAAGACACCTATCGAAAGATCTGCTTACCATTTATTGTAAGCTCTTTCTAATTGTAAAGCCCTGCTGTATATGTTGGCGCTGTATAATTACTAAAAATAAGGACATTCCTATGATACTGCAGGAGGTGGAGTTAGGGGTTAACCTCTGTATGTGCAGCGTTAAAAAAAAAAAAAGGAACGTCCATACAGACTACGGGGCACCATCACCACATGCAACCAACCAAGCGGTTATGATGCTTGGAGTAACCTTTTATTTATATTTTAAATTTAAAATTGTTTAGCTTTTTTTTCCTCAGAGCTTTCCTTTAATGCATTTCTAATAAATCACTTGCTTCTTAATTACATAAAAAATAAAATAAAAGACAAGAAGGAAGACATACTGGAGTTTGAGTGGGTGTAATCTATATATATAATACACATTATGTAGTTTTAATGGGTGTCATGCGCCCCCCAGTGGACATAGGTGGGAATTTTATATACACACCTTTTCTTGATGATGATGATAATAATAATAATAATAATAATAATAACAATAAGCATGTAATTTAGTGCATTTGGTTTCAGACTAATTGTAATTTGTTGAATTGTCATCTGAAATAGGGAAACACTATATGGAAAAATCACTAAACAGTCAATGTACAAACCAGCTCATTCGCTTTGTGATTTGGAGTTCTGTCAGTGGCGCATGGTTTGATTGATGGTTTGGGGCCACTAAATGAATTTTATAACATGACAGGAGGCTTCATATTTTGCATCATCTTTCTTTACTCACTCCATAGCAGCAAAGAGAAAATGTAAGAAAACTGAGAACCAATCAAATATAAGCAGTGACTATAAGAGGCCTAGCCAACAGCATTACTTCCTCTTTCTTTGCTGATACATCACAATATAAGTACTGGGTGTATTTCCTCTTTGTACTTTTGCTATTATTCTGTAAATTTTCTATTATTGTTCTGTTAGAAATTATTGTTTTCTAGCTATAATCGTTTATTTCTTGTTTTTCGTTATTTAGGGGCTTGAGGGTCTCCTCTCCCGTCCCTCAGCCTGCCTCCGGCTCGCTGGGGTCTCGGGATGTCTCGCTCAGGCTTTCCACCGAACACGCCTCTTTCGTCAAGCGAATGTTTGGGACGTGTTTTTTCCTTCGTGCGCACGCGGTTTATTTGCCTGCATTTGCGCATACTTACTCCCAAATGCCTAACCGTTCAGTCCGTTTTCCCTTTGGGTTGCTTCTGCGTTCGACTGCTGAACGCTCGTTCCGTCTCCCGAACGAAAAAATTCTGCGTTTTTTCATGTGAGGTCCCACTACTCCTATTTTGGCTCTGTGGTGAGAACCATGCAGCCATCTTAGGTACTCTGGAATCCCCTCAGATGGAGCTGTCTCTCTCTGCCAGTGTTGCAAACTTCACCTTGCCTTTCACCTTTAGACTAGGACCAGGCAGCAGGTTGGTACCTTGCTTGGGGTTGGTTAATACCAGTTGAGATCTTCCTTATCCTGGTCGGGGCGAGCCCCCTTTTTGTGCTGCTGAGCAGACCTGTGCACGCAGGCTCTGATTCTCCTGGGTGAGCCCCAGTGACATATAGCCTTCATATTGGCCTAACCATCATATTGGCCTACTAGTGGCAACTATCTGAACAGGCATTCAGTACACCTGTGACAAACCTCCCCCCTGGTCCCTAGGCTTCTCCTACCCTAGTGCCGCTCCTTGACCATCACAGTCTCTGAGACCACAGTTATTGTCGTGCCCACTGAAGACAGTCATTTGGGTAAGACCCATTGTAGTTTGGTTTAACTATGGAAGAATCGCAGGCCCCAGTCGACCTGCAGGCCATGATTGCCACGGCGGTTGCCACTTCGATGGAGAAGGCACTTTCCAAGGCGTTTCCCTCAGACCAAGACCCCGCTAAGATGGCCCCAAACGAACCCAGCAAGGGGTGGATTCAGAGGACTCTTACTCCTACAGGCAACGTTCCTTCCCAGCCAAACGCCACTGGAAGGGTGTAAGCTCTACTACCAAGAAGGACAAAGGCAAAGCGCCTCTCAAGTGCGGAAGAGCCACGGCACAACTGGTCCAAGGACCTGCGCAGATTCCCTCCTCAGATGAGGAGCAGGAGCCCACAAAAGTGCTCTTGATTCTGGATGAGTGGCAGGCGGAAGCGTCCAAATCGGATGAGGAGCCATGGGACTCCACAACTAGGTCTGACTCCGTTTACGTAATGGAAAGACACGGTGACCGGCGGCGACCCGGATGCTTGTGATCAACACATGTTTGACCTGCGGAACTGGTCACCCCCAGCACACGTAGCCAACTTCAGGCACTTTTGGCTCTGTAAACCCCTTGACAAGGAGTTTAGGAAGCGTATGAGGTCGGAATGCCCCCGCCCTACGCTGGCCGATAAAGTGGCCTACACCTCGGAATTTGATCAGATCATACTGATGTTTATGGCCCATGGTGGAAGAGACCCTCGCAAAGGTGTCGAATGTGGCTTTAAAGGGGCACAGGATAAACTGCTGGACGTGCGGATATGTTGCACGAGTGGGCACACGATATGAGGGAGTTGGCACAGAGGTGCTTTTGCTTCCTTGGCAATACTAATGTGGCCCTCCTCCATCCAGGCGATTTTCCCAGGCCCCATAAATTATCGGGCCATGCAACGCCTCAAGGCACTGTTCCTTCGCCGAAACCCCACATACGATCAACCTGTACTGATATCGGACAAAGTCTGCACGCAACTTCAATGGTGCCTGGATTGCCTGCAGGCTTGGAACGGCCGAGCCATATTTGGCACTCAACCAGATTTCATCCTGAAGTCAGATGCCAGCCTTCAAGGCTGAGGGGCCAGAGATGAAACGACAGCCACGGGAGGCGTATGGACTTCCCAAGAACTGGCTACGCATATCAATTGCCTGGAACTCCTGGCAGGTTCATTCGCAATACGCAGCCTCAAGAAAGGAAAATCCGATTGCTACATCTTGCTCCATATAGACTATGTCTCATTAAATCAACTGCCTCAGAGGCACCCGTTCGCAGGTACTGGTGAATCTCACAAAGGAGATTTTCGACTACTGTGTACTGTGAAACAT